TTTTATGACTATTATTCTAAATTCACTTTCTGTTATATTATTTAAATCCTTTTTGATCAGTTCATTAGCTGTTGTTATTTCCTGGAGATTCTTTTGAGGGGAATTCTTCCGTTTGGTCATTTTGGATAGTCCCTGGAGTGGTGAGGACCTGCAGGGCACTTCCCCTGTGCTGTGGTGTATAGCTGGAGTTGGTGGGCGGGGCCACAGTCAGACCTGATGTCTGCCCCCAGCCCACCGCTGGGGCCACAGTCAGACTGGTGTGTGCCTTCTCTTCCCCTCTCCTAGGGGTGTGATTCACTGTGGGGTGGGGTGGCATGGCCCTTCTGGGCTACTTGCACACTGCCAGGCTTGTGGTGCTGGGGATCTGGCGTATTAGCTGGGGTGGATCGGCAAGGTGCACAGGGGCGGGAGGGGCAGGCTGAGCTCGGTTTTCCTTTGGAGATCCCCTTTGGGAGGGGCCCTGCAGCACCGGGAGGGAGTCAGACCCACCAGAGGGATGGATCCACAGAAGCACAGCTTTGGGTGTTTGCTCAGTACAAGCAAGTTCCCTGGCAGGAACCGGTTCTCTTTGGGATTTTGGCTGGGGGATGGGCGAGGGAGATGGTGCTGACCAGTGCCTTTGTTCCCCGCCAAGCTGAGCTCTGTCATCCGGGACTCAACAACTCTCCCTCCCGTTGTCCTCCAGCCCTCCCATTCTCCGAGCAGAGCTGTTAGCTTATAACCTTCCAGATGCTAAGTCCCGCTTGCTGTCGGAACATACTCCGTCTGGCCCCTCCGCTTTTGCAAGCCAGACTCGGGGCTCTGCTTGGCCGGCAGGCCGCCCCTCAGCCCCGGCTCCCTCCCGCCAGTCCGTGGAGCGCCCACCACCTCGCCGCCCTTTCTACCCTCTTCCGTGGGCCTCTCGTCTGCCCTTGGCTCCGGAGACTCAGTTCTGCTAGTCTTCTGGTGGTTTTCTGGGTTATTTAGGGAGGTGCAGGTGGAATCTAAGTGATTAGCAGGACACGTGGTGAGCCCAGCGTCCTCCTACGCCGCCATCTTCTCTCCTACACTATTATTTTTTATCATTATTTAATCATTCCATAGATGGAAGTCTGCACCTCCCACCCCCCTTCACCCATTTTCCCCATTGCCCCGCCTCACTCCCCTCTGGCCCTCATTAATTTGTTCTCTGTAGGTATGGGTCTCTTTTTGCTTTTTTTCATTTTATATGTATGCTGTCCACTTTTTCATCCATTTATTTATTGATGGACACTGGGGTTGCTTCTATATCTTGGCTATTGTAAATAATACTGTAGTAAACATAGGAGTGTATATATCTTTTCGAATTAGTGTTTTTGTTTTCTTTGGGTAAATACCCTGTAGTGGAATTAGTGGGTCATATGTTCTATTTTTAATTAAAAATTTTTTTATGTTTATTTATTTTTGAGAGAGAATGTGAGCAGGGGAGGGGCAGAGAGAGAGGGAGACACAGAATCCGAAACAGGCTCAGGCTCTGAGCTGTCAACACAGGGCCCGATGTGGGGCTCGAACTCATGGACAGTGAGATCATGACCTGAGCTGAAGTCGGATGCTTAACCCACTGAGCCACCAGGCGCCCTTATTTTTAATTTTTTTGAGGAACCTCCATACTGTTTTTCACACTGGCTGCACCAGTTTACATTCCCATCAGTTAGTGCATAAGGGTTCCTTTTTCTCCACATCCTTACCAACACTTATTTCTTGTCCTTTTGAGTCTAACCATCCTGACAAGTATAAGGTGATCCCTCATTGTGGTTTTAATTTGCATTTTCCTGATGGCTAGTGATGTTGAGCATCTCTGCATGTGTCTGTTGGCCATGTGTAAGTCTCCTTTGGAAAATGTGTGGTCCCCTGCCCATTTTATTTGGGTATTCTGGTGTTGAGTTGTATAAGTTCTTTATATATTTTGTATATTAACTCCGTATAAAATGTATCATTTGCAAATATCTTCTCCCATCCAGTAGGTTGCCTTTTTGTTTTGTTGATTGTTTCCTCCACTGTGCAGAAGCCTTTTATTGTGGTGTAGTCCAAATTTATTTTTGCTTTTTTTGCCCTCACCTAAGGAGGCATATCTAAAAAAATGTTTCTGTGGCTGATGTCAAAGAAATTGTTGCTTATGTTCTTTTCAAGGAGTTTTATGGTTTCAGGTCTCACATTCAGGTTTTAATCCATTTTGACTTTATTTTTGTGTATGGTGTAAGAAAGTGGTCCATTTCATTCTTTTGCTGTCCAGGGTCCCCAGAATTATTTGTTGAAGTGATTGTCTTTCCCCATTGTATATTGTTGACTCCATTATTGTAGATTAAATGGGCTTTCTTCTTTTCTTAGTTCCTTTAGGAGTGAGGTTAGATTATTTGAGAATTTTCTTGTTTCTTGAGGTAGGTCTGTACTACCATAAATTTCACTCTTAGAACGGTTTTCAGTTTCTCAAATGAAAATCAAAACACAACAGTTCAAAATCTTTAGGAACTGTTGTGTTTTCATTTTCATTTCAATTTCCTCTTTGAATTCTTTGTTAACCCATTTACTGTTTAGTAGTAGCATGTTGTTTAGCCTCCGTGTGTTTGTGTTTTGTGGTGTGCGTGTGTGTGTTACGTGTGTGGTTGATTTCCTGTTTCATACAATTGTGGAAAGGATACACAATATAATTCTAATCTTAAATTTATTGAGACTTGTTTTGTAACCTAACATATCCTAATAGTGTTCCATGTGCACTTGAAAAAAAATGTGTATTCTCTGGTTTTGAATGGAATGTTCTATACATACCTGGTTTGTCTTATTAGTATGTCATTCAAAGACACTATTTTCTTACTGGTTTTCTGCCTGGATATTCTTTCCTTTTATGTAAATGGAGTATTGAAGTCCCCTACTGTTATTGTATTACTGTCAATTTCTCCTTTTATATTTATGTATTTAGGTTTTTCGGTGTTGGGTACATAGATATTTATGTATCCTCTTGTTGGATTGACTCCTTTATCATAATGTATTGCCTTTATCTGTCTCTTATCATAGTTTTTGTTTTAAAGTCCATCTTGTCTGGTGTGAGTGTTGCTCCCCCCCCACCCCCCCCTCCCCCCCATATTCGCATGGTATATCTGTTTCCATCCCTTTACTTTCCGTCTGTATTGTCTTTAGGTTTGAAGTGAGTCTCTTTAGGCACCATATAGATGGGTCTTGTTTTTTTTTTTATCCATTCTGCTTCTGTATGTCTTTTGATTAGAGAATTTAGTCCATTTAATTTAAAGTAACTATTGTGAGGTATGTACTTACTGCTATTTTGTTAATTGTTTTCAGTGGTCTTGTAATTCTTCTCTGTCCATTCTACTCTTGCTCTCTTTTCTTGCAGTTGAGGACTTTCTGTAGTGTCATATTTAGCTTTATTTCTCTTTATGTGTTATGTTTTGGGGTTTGGGTTGCCATGAGGCTCACGTATAGGGTCCTAAGAATACAGCAGTGTATGTTGAGTTGATGGTTATCTAAGTGTGAACACATCCTAAATGAACTTTTTTACTCCCTCCACCTTTTATGTATATGCTGTCATATTTTTACATCTTTTTATTCATAATTTTCTTCAAACTGTGACCTTTTGTTTTCCACTTAAAAAAGTCCCTTTAACAGTTCTTATAAGACCAGTTTAGTGTCAATGAACTCCTTTAACTTTTGACTGGGAAACTATTTCTCTGTCTCTGAATTCTAAATGATAATCTTTCTGGGTAGAGTATTCTTGGTTATAGGCTTCTGTCTTTCAGCTGTTTGAATATGTCATCCCACTCCCTTCTAGCCTACAAAGTGGTTACTGAAAAATCAGCTGGCAGCCCTATAGGGTTTCCCTTGTATATAACAGTTTGCTTTTCTCTTGCTGCTTTGAAATTGTTTATCTTTAACCTTTGACATTTTAATTTTGTGTTTAGTTGTGTACCTTCTTGTGTTCATTTTGTTTGGAACTCTGTACTTTCAGAACCTGGATATCCGTTAATTCCCCAGGTTGGGGAAGTTTTCAGCTATTATTTATTCAAATAAGTTTTCTGCTCCTTTCTCTCTCTGTCATCTTCTTGGGCCCCTATAATGTAAAAATGCTTGATGTTTTCCGAGAGATCCCTTAACCTACCCTCCTTTTTTAAAATAGTGTTTTCTTTTTTCCGTTCTGCCAGAGTGCTTTTCATTACCCTGTTTTCCAGACTGCTGATATCTTCTGCATCTACTAATCTAGGGACTCCCTAGAGTGTATTTTTTATTTCAGTTACTAATTTCAATTCTGATTCTTTTTTATATTTACTGTCTCTTTGTTGAAGTTTTCACTGAGTTCTTCCACTCTTCTCCAGTCTGGTGAGCATCTTTACTAACATTACACTCTATCATGCGTATTGTTTATCTCCGTTTCATTTAGTTCTTTCTCCGAGTTTGTGTCTTGTTCTTTCATTGGGAGCATATGCCCCTGTCTTCTCATTTTACTTGACTTTCTGTGTGTGATCCTCTGAAATAGGCAGAGCAGCACTTCTAAACTTGAAGGAGTGGTCTTGTGTATGGTCAGCTCCCATGTAGAATGTGTGTGTCTTTATGGCTTTCGCTGGCTGGCTGGAGCTGTGTCTGGTGCAGGCTGGGGATCACGTGGCACTCTGTGCTAGGGGTGCCTGGTGTGATGGCTGGAGCTGGCATGGGTATGGGTTGGGCTGTCCCAGAGTACTACATGCACCCTGGAAGGACAGCTGAAGCTGAAGTGGATGTGGGCTGGGGTGTTTCAGGGCTCTCCGTGCAGTGGGCACTCTGGTGGGGCAGCTGTAGCTGAGGCAGGCCAGAGGGACCTGGGTGCTCCATGTATGGGGCATCTGGGCAGGAGATCTGTAGCTGATGGTGGGTATTGACTCAGGCAGTTCCAGGGCTCTCTGGCCAGAAGGTATCCTTGAGGACAGGTAAAGTCACAGTGGGTACAAGCACAGGGAGTGACCTAGTGTGGCAATTAGAACTGGCACAGGTCAGGGAATCCTGGGACATTCTGCCCCGGGCTGCCCTGGTGATGTGGCTGGAACCCCACAGCAGGCAGGGGCTTCTGGTTCCTGGTCACTCTGAATATTGGCCACCTTGGTGGGGTGGCTGGAGCCAAAGCAGCATGAGCCAGGAAGTCCCAGCATCCTCCTCACCAGGGTGCCCTGGCAAGCAGTCTGGAGCCGAAGTGGTATAGGCATGGAGTATTCTGGGGTGCTTTGTGCCTGTGTCACCTTGATGGGATGGCTGGAGCTATAGTGAGCATTGACAAGGGGTGTTCTAGTGTGTGCTGTTTTGGGGCCTCCTTGGTGGAATGGCTGGGATGGTGTGGGCTAGTGGCCCAGGACTCAGGCAGTAGGCCAGCTCTGGTGCCTGGACCTTCTTCCCATCCACACTATCAAGGTAGATGGGGAACGTAAACCATGGCACTTGCCAGCCCCTCCAACCTAGAAAGAGTTCCAGCATCTCCCCCACTGTCTGGTGGTTTTAGAGCTGGCTCTTTTGTATTCTATTTGCTCTTTTATACCATGGCTTTTTTTTGTGCTCCAGGGAACCCAGTACTAACGTGGCAGGCCAGCTAAGGCACCAAACCCTGCTCCTGCCTGTGCTATCGAGGTGTTCGGGGGAGTGTAAACCATGGTACTTGCCAGCCCTTCCGACCCAGAGAGAGTTCCAGCAGCTCTCCTGTTTGGTGGACTTACAAGGTAGGATCTCTTAGATACTAGTTGCTCTTTTAAACGGCTTTTTTTCTGTGCTGTAGAGCAGACGGATCAGCTCATGGTCCCTCAATGCTATCCTTCCCCACTGCAATTCACAGGGCTGGGGGTTCCTTTTGTTACCATGTCCCCATCTCTCTTGCCACTCTTTATGTGCTCTGTGCCACAGAAGCCATCCAGCCAGCCCTCAGTTCTTCAGGAGGAACTGCTCTATAAATAGGTATAGATTGTGGAGGAGGTGAATTCACGGTCTTCCTACATCACTATCTTGGACGAGACTCCATATTTGTATAAAATTCAAAACGTAAAACATGAAAAACTGTCAGGTAATCAACAGAATATTCAGTGTTTACAAAGAAAAAGTGAGCCACTTAATTCAATTTACATTTTAAACTATGTAATAGAGGTATTTGTTGTACACATGGTTTTAGTTTAATACAAGTACAAAATTTCTCTCTGGAAACACTTAACCTGAGTTGAAAATGAAATCAGAACTGATGAGAGATCTTAATTTACAAAAGCAATTCTCCTCAAAATATAAACAATGATTCCCAACTGGCGAGTTGCTCTGAAATTCAGGGTTCAGACCCAGGACAGGAATGAGGGAAAACTCCTTGTAGATCAAAAGCTCTGCTGAAGTCATAGGATTGCACTTGTGGGCCCTTAATCAGAGTGAGCTTTCTCAAGCACCCCCGGAAGGAGGTCTGGCTGCTCAGGCAGTTTTGCTTTACGTCAGCTGTTAAGAGAGAAGTCTTGCTTAATTTTGTTAAATGACATGACTAGTACAATAGGAGCAAAAGTAATTATCAAGTAGTTTTTTCATCAAAATTAGAACACTGTTCTCCCACATATGTTGCTTCTGTGATAAGTCAATGAAAACTTTTAATATATGGTAATTTTAAGGTATAGTTATGACTTAAAAGTCATCAAAGAGATGTTTATTTCGTTATTTGTAAAAATCACTGGGAACATCTGAAATGCAGAATTCAAATCCAGAATCGATGTCAGAGGATAAGATCATGTTTCTTTGTCCTCTAAAATGGTTACCTGCCCTAAAATGACTTCCTACTCTGGGGGGTCATCTAAGATGACTTGCCTCGGTAAAGTCATCTCGCTTACTTTACATTGCATCCGGTGTTCTCAGAGTCTTACCTAATGATGAATTTACTTGTGTAGATTATTTTAACTTTTCCAAGAACTTCTAGGTATTTGAGATAGACTTTCTAAAATGTAAAGGATTTGTCACCCAAACCATGTATTTTTCTTAATCCCTATTCTGTATCCAGCTAAACTGACAGAGCTCCTTAAAAGTGAATGGGCAAAGCAGACACCCATACGTACCAGGGTAGCCGCCCACATAAATGGGATTGTTGGTGTCTGCTGAGGTGGACTGGGTGTGTGGACTTTCAGCGTGAGCTGCATTCCCATCAACAATCAGAACCAAGCGGTGTTTGCTTTTCTGAGCTTGAAGTGTGTGCCATCTTCCATCGCACAGAGTACTGGTAGCTTTGGGTTTATATGTGGCTGTTATCCGACCAGCACCGTTGTTAACATGAAACAAGATCTAAACAAACAAGACACAAATACCTTGGTGAATTTTTCTATGTTTAAGGAACACCATTCATTTATATAATGCTCTTGGAGTAGATAAATCCCCCCATTCTGCTAAAAAGGAGGGCAAGCTATGAAAAACAATGATTTTGAAAAATAACCTCATAAAGGATGCAGGTTTCATCACTCCCGAAACTACAGAAAGGATCAGTGACCACCTCCATGGGAAGAAGCCCAAGCCATTGCCCTCAAATCATCACCTTTTTCAGGCCTGCAGGAGCTGATGGGTTTAGAGGGTCTGTTTGTAGCAGATGGCTAGCACCTATGAAGGACCATTTACCGACTCTCTTGTGACAGACTATAGGTGCCCTACCACAGCAAGTTGTAACACACAAAAAAAATCTAAGACTTGCAAAAGCTAGCAGGGAATACTTGTAAGAATACTGTTGTAGAGGTGACTCCATGTATTTCGAGGTCCACTGTGATAAATTAAAGATGTACACTATAGACCCTCGGGCAACAGCTAAGAAAAGTTTTAAAGGAAAAATAAGCCAATGGTAGAGGTAAAATATACATCAGAAATTACATTTTTGGCAACTGTTACACTTCTAATAATGTTTCTCAGATGTCATATAAAAATACGCACAATACAGAATTTTTCAAAATTCTTTTGAAGTCCAGATGAGGAAGCCTTTGGCTATAAGCCACAGCGTAGAGGGGCAAGCGGTATGATGTAGAGGCAGCTTTGTTTAGACATGAAGATGAAATAAGGGGGGAGAAGAGGTGAAGGACAAGAGGTGGATCTGATTTTCTTACATCCTCCTCACCCCCATTCTAGGATGTCCTCGCAGCCGGAAACCCAGTGGGGAAGAAGCAGAAGTACTAGAAATAGGCAAATGAGATTGCAAATAAAATTGGAAAAAATCTAGAGCACAGAGACTTGTTTAAAAAGAGTCAAGCATCTTAGTTTCAGAGCAACACAAGTTGACCACAGTGCAAGAGAAATGGTGAAAAGTGTAGTTAGGTAGAGAGGATTTAAGAGATGCCTTTCATCCCCATGGCCTGGCATCAACTCCCCAGTTCTCCTGTGATCCTCTGGGGGACGCAGGAGGTGGCTGAAGAGACAGCAGTGCCCCTGACCGGGATGGGAAGCTTGATCTGCAAGGGATGTTGGCCTAATAATCTCCAGGATAAGTTCCCACAACCTGGTGATGGCTGAAACTCCAGACCACTCGTTATAACTTGCCAGGGACAACTGGCCTAGTGCACAAAAGACAGAGGCTATGCCTAAGGACCAGGAATGCCAAGCCACACCTCAGCTATTGTCAAGAGAGAACTTACAGAAAAGAAAGGACAAGGAAGACTCTCTTCCCTCACATCTTGCTTGCACCTAGAGGCAGTTTTCAAGCAAAAGAGACTAAGGTATCCTAATTGTTAAGTTCATTTTGTTCTGAACATGGGAAAGACTGGCGACTGAAAAGCAAGAGCAGAATAGTTACAGAAAAAATATATATATATTTTGAATTAAAAAAATTAGACTGTGGTATATCCATCACATGGAATACTCTGCAATAAAAATAAAAAAAAGAAAAAGGAACCATTGATAAACACAACAGCCCAGATCAATGCCAGGAAATGAGGCTGAGTGTACAAAGCCTATCTCAAGAGGACATATACTGTATCATATCATTTATATAATACTCATGAAATAACAGCTGGAGAACAGATCAGTGGTTGCCCAGGGCTAGGGAGAGAGTTGGTGTGGATATGAAGGGGTGGGTTGAGAGAGCCTTGAGGTACAATTAAGTATCTTGACTATGAGGGTGGATACATAAAGCTAAACAAAATTGTGTAGAGCCACACACACACATGTACATGCATAACTAACTCAACTGAAAAAAACTCTGGATTATGCCAATGTCAATTTCATGGATTTGATGTTGTGTAAGAGTTATGCAGGGACACCTGGGTAGTTCAGTCGGGTAAGCATTCAACCTTGGTTCAGGTCACAATCTCGCAGTTCATGAGTTTGAGCCCTGCATTGGGCTCTCTGCTGACAGCTGAGAGCCTAGAGCCTGCTTCGGATTCTGTGTCTCCCTCTCTCTCTGCCCCTCTATTTCTCTCAAAAATAAGTAAACATTAAAAAAAAAATTTTTTTTAAGAGTTATGCAGAGCGTCTGTGTGACTCAGTTGGGGAGCTGACTTCGGCTCAGGTCATGATCTCACAGTTCATGTGTTCGACCCCCATGTCGGATTCTGTGCTGACAGCTCAGAGCTTGGGGCCTGCTTCCAGATTGTGTGTCTCCCTCTCTCACTCTCTGCCCTTCCCTCACTTGCAGTCTGCCTCTCTCTCTCTCAAAAATAAATACGAAAAAAAAACTTTTTTAAATTAAAAAAAAAAAGTCATGCAGATGCTAACACGGGGGAACCTCCTTATATATTTTACTATAACTTGCTATCAATCTGTAATTACTTCCAAATAAAATGTTAACAAATATTAGGGAAGGGAGAGCATCAGGTTGGCAATTTTCAGATGCCTCTGGAGAAAAGATTTCTGTTGTAGTAAGATTGCAGTTTTGCTTTAAGTTTAATTTCATTTTTGTCATTTTTAATCTAAACCTTTTCTCTTTTCCACTGAAATGATCATGGGAAGTTTGGATCTAGGTATTTCTTGTTTTTTTTTTTTTTTTAATTTTTTTAATGTTTGTTTATATTTGAGAGAGAGAAATAGTACACAAGCAGGGGAGGGGCAGAGAGAGATGGAGACAGAATCTGAAGCAGGCTCCAGGCTCTGAGCTGTCAGCACAGAGCCCGATGCAGGGCTCGAAGCCAGGAGCCATGAGTTCATGACCTGAGCCAAATCCAGACGCTTAACTGACTGAACCACCCAGGCACCCCTGGATCTAGGTATTTCTACTGTTTCTCAATTGCTCTGTCTCTGGCACTGGGATAAAGGAGAACCCCATCAAGATCAAGCGCTTACCTTGCCATTCACAATCTCTAATCCGATGGCATCTACTTTGGCGCTGCTGATCCCCAGGAGGACACCATTCTCAGAGGTGGTACGAAATTCCAGTGTTATATTTACATCTGATCGGACTTTGTAGCCTTCCTTGACTGAAAAATACAAGGATAACCCCAAGTTAGGGGTGAGCCTGGCCCAGGAGGGTTCAGAGTCGGAGAGGCCGTGGGCTGGTTGGCTGTGCATTTTGGTTCCTAGTTCAGGAGGTCTGGTGGCTAGCTCTTTCTCTGGATCCAGCACCATCCTCAGCTTCCTCATCTTTAAGATGAAGTGATGCTATTCAAGACCTACCAGGGCTGAGCCAGACCGGAGCCCAGGCAGGCACATCCTCTCTTCTAGAGACACATAGGGAAAAAACCGAAAGGGATTTGATCCATATAATCCCTTCATCATCTATCCGGCAGTAGTCTACTTTATTTTCCCAATATCTACATACTGGGTATGGTGTCATTTACTGAGCATATTCATATCCACGCTAGGTTTTTTTACTTGAGGATTTAATTAAATGTATATTTTATTCAAGTGATAGAAAAGCTGAGAAACCAAACTGGGGCTACATAGCAGATGGTTGTTCAGCCCAGGGTTAGAGGAAAATTGGGAGAAAGCCGTGTTACCAGAGCTTCTTGGAAGCACAGAGTGAAGGAGCGAAGTGTGCTAGCTTTTCCTTTCCTCCCACCCACCCCTAATCTTCCACCAGGACCTCCCTGGAAGCCAGAGAAATGCGGTTCCCTGTGGTAGAAAGCAGAGCTGAGGCCAAGAGGAGTAGGGTTGTGAGTGCAAACAGCAAATCAGATGGAGAGGGAAGGCCAGATACATTACAAAGGCTTAGTTCTAGGCCCTGAGGAATTTACATTTGAAGGCATTTTAGACATTTAAATTCCTCTACTTAGGATCAGTATTGTCAACAGTCTCAATGGAGTCAATTTCTTCATCAAATCTGACTTGCATTTGGCTGGCTGGTCTAGATATTTTATGTTGATTTTTGTCAAAGGCCTTTATTAACTTGGGCAGAGAGAATGTGGCTCACATAAATTTAGGGAAAGTACAGACAAAACCAGTACCACATGTCTGCCCTCTGCCTGAAGTTGCCGCTCTCCTGGTGGGAAGAAGCCTGCAGCAGGCCATCTGGATAGCATGAGGGGGAGAAGGCTTTAGAAGTTGAGAAATTAGAATAAACTCGAACACTTAACTAAAATGGTCTTGCTGCAGCCTTGTTCAGGGGGTCCTGTCCTATCAGGACATATCACTGGATCCATTTCAGAGTGCAGGCTAAATAAACCCAAAGATTTCTTTTGAGATCATTGATAATACATACCAAGAGCTGCGTATCCACTGCCTTCAAAGAACGTTCCTTCCTGGGCCACTGCATAGCACCTGCTTACTGCAAATGCAGACACTGGGCTGCCTTTGTCCAGCTGTTTGCCATTCAGTATCACCTCCCCAATGCAGGCGGGGACACTGTGGGTGATCTAAACCAAGTGACATGAGAATAGATGCTCTAAGTAGAACAAGAAGGGCAAGGGTAAAATGTTCCTATGCTTCAACAAACACATTAAAATGTTAACTTTTGGTTTTTAAAATCGAATTTCCACAATAGTTTACATAAACATCTAACGGAATGCTACTAGCTAGGAGTATCTTGGCTAGTAATGCAGTAAAGGTGTTTTCCATCATTTTGATTAAGTAGTGTAGAAATCAAGATGCTGAGTTTTCTAATCTGCAAATACAAATCTACTGGACTTTCCTGCATTGTACCAGAGCTAAATGGCTGGGAAGGGGAAACATTCATTAACTAACAGGTAGGAAAGGCTGGCTGAGCTTCAAGGGGAAGCCCCAACACAATTTAGGGATGCAGTTTAAAAGGTGTGCATCATGCAGCCAAGCTCCAGTTTCAAACAAGATAATTCAACATAAACTTTTTCTTTTACAAATAAAACCACAAAAGCACAACCACAATAAAGGTAAGACGGGCTCCAAACAGAAAACACAGCTTACGTTTCCAATGTTCCTGGCTCTGTACTCAGAGGGAAGACCACCTAGGTACAGCTTTCCTTCCACATCCAACATGGTACCATCTCCCACAGCTGTCACCGTGGGGGATTCCTGGCCATCAACTGTCATGAAGCCTTTTCTTTTAAAGTGCTCTGTCTTGACCTAGAGCAAAATGAGACTATCCACAGTTTTAAAGGAATCTGAGAAAACTGTAATGGATGTTTGTTTGCAGCATCTGTTCATTATAGCTGTAATAACCTGAATGAGATCCTAAAGGATGGCTCTGATTTTTACACAGTTGGTGTTGAGGAGACCAAGCCTGGCAGGAGGCTGGAGCAGGCACAGGCAAAGCGCACGTTAGAATGGGAAGAACCCCTGAGGCCTAGTTATAAGAAAGCAAATGCCATGACCTAAGGGTTGGCCCACTCATGCCACAGGTAGGCTTGATTTACTTCTCATCAAGGTGAGAACGCTTCTGGTACCTTTCATTCATTCCACCAATGTTAGCTGCTGAGTGCTTTTCAGGATGCAGAAAAGGTCCCTGCCTACAAGAAGCTTATAGCTATAGAGGAGATAGTGGACACAAAGCAAGCTAGAAACCAAAGGGGATCACTTCATGACAGCGAACTGGAATGGATACAAGGGATGGATGGAATAAACCTTAGCACGAGGGATTCACCAGCTTCCTGAGGGCATACCGTGTGCCACCTGCCATCACTGATCACTGCAGGGTGGGAGACCTTTGTTCTGCCTTTCCCAAGATCAAACATGAAGTGAAGGTGGCCCCCATGCAGCTGGAGCGTGGCATAATCAACTTGGTTCTGATGAGCCATGTAGTAAATCAGACCGCTGGAGGCAAATGTCCGGATACTTAGCTGAACTGAGAGCCTGGAGGAAAACAAGAGCTCAGGCCTCAGAAAGAAACTTTCACATGTAAAAATAACCTCAAAGAGAGAATCTAATAACTGTTTCAACCTGTGTATTTAACATCTCAGCAGAGAGTCATTCATTATTCTTTCATTCATTCATCCATCTGTTCACCCAACTAATAGTTACCACATACAGATGTCTGCCAGAGACTGTTCTAGATGCTGAGGCTGGAGCACTAAACAAAGAGGAATGTCCTTTCTCCCACAAAACTAATACTAGAAATCTATCAGAGATAAAATTGGGTCATGAGAGGCCAACTGGTGGTTTTATTACAGAGGGCAGGCAGCTCTGAAAAGGTGCTGTTTCAGCTGAGCTCTGAATGGCAGGAGCAAGCCCCACAAAGCTCAGCACTTTGTTTGCAGACAGTGCCGAGTATGCTAAAACAATGGGGTGGATTTGGGTGGACAGCCAGGAACCCCCTACCGGGGCTCCAAGGGAGACAGCACCACAAAGCAGTGGAGGGAAGGCTGCATCTGGGTATCCTCCCGCAGAAGAAAGCACAACACTAAAGCACTCTGGGACAGGGAGTGTCAAATATCAAGGCAATTTGTGGCACGAGTGTTTGCTCCTCTTGTTAACACTGATGAGGAAGAGGGTGATGGCTCTGAGAGAGGTGATGGGCTCCAGAGGCAAGCAAGATGGGGAGCAGGACCCTTCCTCTGTGGTGCAGGGGAAGAGGTACAAGGGTGGGGACAAAGGCAGCAGGGGTGCTCTTTTGGGTAGTGGACAGATGAGGAGAGTTCTCTGTTCACTGAGGCAGTCATCAACTGGGGCATGAAGAGAGGCTGTGGGAATGCACAGAGTTTTGAGATAAGAGAAGCTATAAAATTTTTTTAAAAAATGAACATAATGGAGAATAGTATTGGCTACTCATGTAGTCTGGAGGTTCCATCTCAAATCAGTGGCCATGGCTTTCAAGTCAAACCAGGCAAGAAAGAGATACGTACTTCTGCAGACTTGACCACCAATGTGGATTCTGGTACAGATTAGGAAGTATGAATTTTTCCTGGGGCCGTGGTGGAAGTTTACAAAGGGGCACCTGTAATAATGGCACTGTGCCCATCTGTATTGGGGATAAACTATTCTAGGGGAGTTGTAGAAGGAGGGTTTGTGAGAAAGCATGACAGGTTCAAGGTCTTGATGCAGTTGAGGAGCTGTTGGAATGGGAGGTAACAGTAGATATGAGGAGGACGGGGTTAATAGGATGCTTCAGGTAGAGATTCTGGTTGGAAGTGGGATGGATATTTACAAAGTAGGCAAGGGTGTGTGTGACCGTGGGGAGAATGTGGCTGAGGAAAAGCCCTCTGACAGGAGCCAGAAGACTTGGAAGGTCCAGTGTGGGGTGGCCGAATTCATGGAAAATGATGGCCCAAGTTATGGAACAAAGACACTGAGGCAAGGTCTGAAGATGGTGCCATAGGGGCAGTGATCACAGGTGGCCGTAACACCAGGTGCAGTCTGAAGGATTCAGAGGAGAGGAGGAATGTGGAATTCCCCAGGCCTCATCTGTGGGATGTGAGCTAGCTTGGTCAAGGAAGAGCCCTTGGGGACAAGCAGGTGTGAGGGCAAGAAGGAATGTGCAGATTGGTGTGGGTGTGGCACCAGGGAGTTTGAAAGGCACAGTGAAAGGGTTTGGGTGGACAATTTGATCAGATTAGTAAATGCTTACAATAGAATGGGGTTGAAAGTCCAGAGGATGATAGATCTAGAAGACTTGAGATTCTAGAACAAGATGATTTAGAGAGACTCCCTACCTATGTGCTTTCCTATATTCATACAGAGGCAGCAGCTAGCCTTCATCAAGAAGGGGTAAGGACAAACCACAAGAACCCCACTGGACCACATTTTAAGCATCTGGTTTGCACAAAGGCTGCATTCCTGTCTCTGCCATTTGGTTGCACGTTGAATACTCCATAATAACATACAAGAAGCTTCTGAAAAGACTCATTGCTGAAGAATACCTCCTGGATTCATTTATCGGTGAGACATCTAATGAAGACTTTAGAACACCCACCTCTTTCTGACAGCCAGCTGATTGAAGGGCAACACAAAATGGCTGCTTTGCATGAGGCCAAACTGGTGAGCGTTGGGGATGTACTCTGGGGCTCTGTCCACAGCACACTGCCCCTGTAAGACACGCAGATGGACTCTCAGCCACACAGAGCCAGGGCCCCCACTAACGTGTCCCAAGTTTTCCATGAAAAAAATATCTCAGAAGCAACTGGATCAGAACACCAATAGCCACAAATACATGTCTGCGCTGACTGATTCTCTGCTTTAAGTAATTTACTTGCTATGTCTTTATCTGAGAAGGCAGTTAGAGCTTCTGTCTTTCACCTCAGTCCCACTCAAGTTTGCTTAAAAGTCCCATGACTATTCATCAGGCCAAAGGGGCAGAGGCCTTGCTGCTGCCCTCCCCTGCCTCCCACCCCGGGCAAGGGCTGGAGGGGATCAGTGGCAGCACATCATGTACCAGGAGACTGGAAGTGCCCACAAGTGACCAGCAGGGGCTCTGAGCCTGACGTCTCCAATTCCTCCCAGACAGAGCAAGTCCAGCTGAGAGGAGAGAGGCTGAAAGGGGGGCTGCTGGGGAACCTGCAGGTTGCCTGGCCGCACCCTCCACACAGTGGCTCTGAACCACGTGAGGCTTCAGACTCACTTTTCGGCTTGGGGTAGGTGGACGCTACCAGGGGAGCTGTCCTGAGCTCAAAGATTGGTCCTGCTTGGAAGGTACTGCTTTTTGTATGACTGAACCACCATCTAATCAGAGTGCATGCTTTCAACCAAGGAAACAGAGAAATCAGAAAAGGGAAAAGAAAATGGAAACTAAGAACTGCCATTAAAAATACTTGGCCATGGGGCGCCTGGGTGGCTCAGTCGGTTGAGCGTCCGACCTCGGCTCAAGTCATGATCTCTTGGTTCATGAGTTCGAGCCCCGTGTCAGGCTCTGTGCTGACAGCTCAGAGCCTGAAGCCTGCTTCAGATTCTGTGTTTCCCTCTCTCTCTCTGCCCCTCCCCTCCTTACACTGTCTCTCTCAAAAATAAACATTAAAAACTTTTTTTGAAAAGTACTTGGTCAAAATTGGCTTTTCCTAGATGAATCAAATCTTTTTTTTTTTTTAAGCAATAATGGAATGTTCAATGGCTTTTACATAACGACTTATTTTCTGTTTCTGACTCAACCCGAAGTCACGATGAGTCCTTATAGAAACTCTGCTACAAATCTTGCTGTACGGCAGTCAGATGAAGATGGCTGTCAGGGCCTGTGGTCTGTAAATGCTGTGCCGTGTCATCAGAGAACTATTCGCCACCCTGCCCCTGCTCTGCTTTTCATCACAGGGATGAACCCTGTGACCGTTCCTAGAGTTCTTTGAAAAATGGCTTCCTCGGGGCGCCTGGGTGGCTCATTTGGTTAAGCATCAGACTGGTAATTTTGGCTCAGGTGATGATAGCATGGTTCGTGGGATTGAGCCCCATGTCAGGCTCTGTGTTGAGCATGGAGCCTGCTTGGCATTCTCCCTCTCTCTCTTTGCCCCTCCCCCCCCCCCCACAGACACATACACACTCTGTCTCCAAAATAAAGAAAAAGTAAAAATGGCTTCCATCTGGGGGTTTGGAGGGTGGGTCAATGGAAAAGGCTGGAGTGTTTCTCCCTCCCTTCCAGCTCCAGGTGGCCTCCCTGACAGCACCTTTCTTCTCTGTGCCCCAGTACTCACCAGGAGACCCTCTCTGCTCAGACTCACTCCCCCTGTTCCTGGTAGCACCACCTTCTCCCGTGGCACTGTTGTTCCATTGTGCTCCTTCAGCTTTCCCAACACCTTTGTAACAAGGTCCCCCTTTTGTTCTGACTGTACTTGATTGATACAATTAAAGAAAGCCCCTCTTACTAGACTTGGTAAAGGCTGAGGCTCTGGCGGGAGCTCGCTGTCCTCTCCATGAAGAGCCAGCTTCGGCCTTTCTGAAAGCAAGCAGGTGTCCAAATCTACTTGTTCATAACCAACCGCACTCGTGAAATCCAAATGTCTAGATACAAAGTGTTTATAAAATTAATTAAGATACTATGTACAAGCCAACACAGGAGCCAAAGTCATTTGATTACTGAACACTACAGTCTTATGAAAAACCATTAATATATTACTCTTAGTGAAACCAAATTGACCATCTTCCAGTGACTAGAAGTCTGTAAGTCTTATTATATTCCCTCATTTGATTCTTCGACCCACCCCACTCCAGCCCCTCCCCATGTCGTCCTCCTGGCCATCGCTGAGCATCCCTCAAGATTTGGCTCAAATGCAGCCTTGGCCGGGGTAAGAGAATGGGTCTGTCTCTGGCTCTCACACGACTACACACTGGCCTCAGTTAAACACTGATTTCTTTCTTAGAGATTTACACTTGCCAGGAAGTCGTGACCTACACTTTTCATATTCCCTTCACTCTGCAGCCCTTGCAACATGTCCTGTCTGCGTCTACCCTCTTGGCACCTTCTGAGGACGTGGCTGTGAACAGCACAGAAGCCTTTCTGCCCTATGGAATTCTCAGCCTCAGGGCTTTCAGTAGTAAGATGCTGAATCAGTTTATTTATAAACAGAGAACTGGGCAAATAAATCAACTGTACAAATAAGTTGTACAAACCAAGGCTCTGACATGGTAATCGTGCTGAAACCCAGTGTAATGTTTTATTCTTCCAAAGTCCAAGGACTCCTAAGAGGTTCTTTTACAGGGGACACTGCGACCATCAGAGATCCAAGCCATTGTTTAAGGTCTCAAGGCAAATGGGCAGTTCAGGCAGGAGGGAGCTTGCTTGTCCTGGGCAGATTCTGGCTCCGCACCCCCACCTGCAGGTTGTAGCCCCGCTTTTGTGCCACCAGCGTTCTTATGCAGGCAGGAGGCAAGTGAAGAAGAAATAAATACCATGGGCATGTGGGCATGTGTCTGTTCTCTTACTCAGAATGAGCTCCACAGGGAAAACAGACTTCCCGTTCTTAATTAGGCACTAATTGTTTCAGGAGGAGCCATTAAACCAAAGCTGCAAGAAACCCCACCATAAAGGTTCCTTTAAAGCAGTGAGCTCAAGACAGCAAGAAACTTGCATCACAAAATCTCTATGTTCCCTGAAGTGCATGTCAAAAGTGTATTTGACCTCTGATGTTTGTTGATAGTCCTGTGGAACTGATGTTCATTTTTTTTTTTTTTTAATATATGATTACCAGATATATCCACTATTCTAATCCAGTAGAATCCATTTGGGAGACCTTTGCGATAGAATAGGGCTTGCTTGTTATTCAGAAACTTGTAGGATTTTAGGTAATCTCAAACAGCAAAATTAGACAGCAAGTCAGGGTCAGTACTCAGCTTTAAAAAATTAGGAAGTGCAAAAACATGTTGAGAGCAGTTACACTTACTCCATGTTAAAGATCAGGTTTTTGATACAGCCGTGAAATGATCTTCCCATCTTGAGCACTGATGTCCCCTCACCCTCTGGAACTCCCCCTATGTACAGGCTGGATACATTTATTGTCCTGCTTTCTGCTGATGGGCCCAACTTCATTTCTACAGGATTTGTCTCATCCATTTGGACAGTGATAACGCTAAAAGGTCAAAGGAGAAAAGAAAAGCTTTTAAATGTAATGAAACATAACTATTTTAATACATAATTTCACAAGTTCTTACTGAATGACAGAAGTTCCCTGAAGACAAATTTTAACGACACTAAGTGAATAAAAAGGTGAGTCTTAAAAATTAACACTTACAGTTGAACATCCTCCCAAAATGAATCACGTTATTAAATATTATTGAGTTCAGTTCACTTGGGGAGAGTATTATTCTTTTACTTTACCTGTGATAAAATGTCCAGCATGCTTTTGAAACATTTGGTCTACCGCTTTGAAGGGATATATGTGGGAATGCTGATACAACACTATTTACTATTTTACTATTTGTTTTCTGTTTACTGTGTTCCTACTTACTGTTTGACATTATTATTTAGTATTGATATAATGCTGTCTACTCACACTATGGTACTGTCTGCCACAGAATTAATCTGATGTAAAACATTTTATACTGGGCCCCAGAAAAAAGCAGGGTTAAGGTTTTTTAATTGCAAAAATTCCACAAATATCTTATTACCAAGCAGATGAAATTACTTTTGAGGAAGGTTTTCTAGAAGGGCTCCAGAGTTATTCTGGAGCTGTAAAATCTCTGAATTTTCCTGACTTCATCCTAGTCATCCCAATCATTTTACCGCAAAGAGTATCCTAACATGGTTCCTACTGTCGGTCACCAGGGCCTTGTATGTGAATACCTCCCAGTCCTCATCAGAGAGATGGAATGCTCTTGCCCGTCACCATATGTGCCCTTGGGAGCACGCAGGACAGCTCTTCTCAGGTTTGCTCCGTCCCCAGAGTTAACGTGCACTTCAATGTGGCCTTCAATCAGCATGATGGAAAAGAAGGCCTGGGAAGGTTGCTGAGAGATTTTCAACAGAAAAAATATTGCCACGTGATTTTTAAAATTATTATGAAGACAATATGAGAGTATTAACAAGCAACGTATTAAGAATATCACCATCTAACACAACTCTTTTAAATTCTGTTTCTAATCTCTGTTCATATGATTTACATTCTGCTTTATGCTCTTATCATTAACCCTATCAAACATTTCCCTTTCTACTTCATACTTTTTATTGCTACCATATGTACTAACAGATACATATACTGTAAATCATTGACCGATTTATTGTTAAAAATTTAGTTTCCAATTTTTCTTACCATACATAATACTTTTGTTTTTTTGCCCGTGAACACTTTTTTTTTTTTTTTTTTTTTTTTTTTTGCCTAACGTTTCTAAAAGTGGCTTTAAAAGGTGGAAGAGTTTGGAAATTATTAAAGCTTTGAGAACTATTTTGCACATTGAAAATAGGTCCACCAGCAGAACGGGAGTGAGTGTTTCACAATGCCCTTGTGAGCATTCTGATTTGCTGAACAAGCAGCAAACTATGATTAAGATTGGT